GGGGAATTCTGGGAGTTGAAGTCCGCCAGGCTTAAAGTTGCCAAGGTTGGAGACGCCAGCATCTTAGCAAAGGGGGAATTGGAGGAGGGGGAGGGATTTGTACGGAGTGGGGTGCGCTCCCGCCAGTAGCCCCCTCTCCAGCCCAGCCCGGAATAGCAACTCCCCTATGGAAACAGGTAACAACGCGGAGCAGGCACCTAACCATCCGCAGCCTGGAAGAAAGGGACAGGTGGGTTTCCCAGGCCATTTACCTGGGCGCGGAAAGGCTCTGCCGCTGCTGCTCGTCTGAGGAAGCGGCCAAGGACGGAGCCCACGCGGAGACCCAACATGGTAAGGAAATCTGCAAGCGCCCAGAGCCCACGTTGAAGGACGAGAGGGCACCACACTGCCTCCTCTTTCGCTTACGGAGGCCTTAGGGGACCAAAAACCAAGCCTTGGCGGGCTGGCGTATCCCGAGACGACTCTTCCCAGCGGCGGGAAACGCAGGCGCTTCGTTGTTGCGCCTTTGGGTCGCCCTTTCGCTTTGCTTTCACACGTCCGAAATCTCTTTTAAGCCGCGCTGCTATATGCTTGTCTACTGAGACGAATGAGGTTCCCCCTCCCCCTGCCTCTTTTTGCCCCGCTGCTATTAAGAAACATGAGAACGCATCTGCTGTTGTCCCAAAGGTGCAATTCAGGTGACCCTGAAGACACAGATAAACCTCCAAATGCTTCAATGAGCCTCGAAAACTTGACAGCTTTAAGACTTGTGGACTTCAACTCCCAGAATTCCTCCTCCAGTCATGTTAGCTCAGGAATTCTGGGAGTTGAAGTCCACAAATCTTAAACTTGCCAAGTTTAATTTCTTGCCAAGTTTGGATTTCTTACAGACTTTCATCTACTGTTGCTGCTTCAAAGCAGCAGATTTCTTTAGTTACCTAATTTTTCCAGTGATGACAAGGCTGGGTTCACAGCCAGCTTTGGACAGGTGAGGTTTGGACAAATGTATGATGCCCATTTTTTGATGGGGTAAATGCAATACTTCTCAACTTTGGGCACAATCAATCAAAGAATGTGGACTTCAATTCCCAGAATCCAGAAGTCAGCATGCTGGCTGGGGAATTCTGGGAGTTGAAGTCTGTACATCTTAAGAGTTGCCAAAATTGAAAAACACAGTTTAAGGTATACTCTGAACTCAATAAGGTAGATCGACTGAGAAACTGTGATTTAAGTAATCACAAATAACTTTACTGCGATTACTTGAATCATAGTGTCTCAACTGATATATATTACTAAGTTACTGAGATAACTGTCATGTTATGATAACTGTCAGTTAGTCCCAAAGGTTAGGATGTTTCCATCTTCTGTTTACTTTGATGGAAGGGTATTGTACCGAACAGAAGTTTTTCTTTGGTATGAACAGCCAAAGAATGAAACTCTTTGGCTCATTTAACAACTTATAGGAAGTTGGATTCTCACCTTAAATGAAGCCTTCATTTAATCCACCCATTAGAAGTGTGTAAAGTGTCCAACAGTGATTGGATTCATACAACATGCTAAGGTGACACCAAACAGGCCACATGTAAGTGTGAAAAAGGATGCTTAAATTTATATTCAGCTTTAGCTGAAGGAAAGCTCACTAAGAAGCTTTAAAATTTATATTCAGTGACGAGTGAACTAAGGCTCAAGAAAATTCAATCTTAAACAGTTCCATTTCTTCAAAAGTGGCAAACTGCTCATGTTGTTCAGCCAATGGGAAATATAATGGTTAAAAAAAATACGTAATGGGATTACATTTCTGTGCCTCTAGTAATGGTGTATTTTTTTCTTGAGGAAAATGCATCTAATAGCTATACTAAAACAATATTAAAAATAAATTTAAGTGAATCTGGTCACCCTTAGCAATGAATATTAAAAACTGCATAACTATATTCTTCTGCCTGTATTTCACTGTTTTGATTGGTAAGTCCTGGAGTTCTTTAAATACTGTCATAATGGGGATTATTTTAGCCTGGAAAAGGCTGATAAGACAATCCTGTCACCACAGAAGTTACATTATAAAATCCCTTATCTATAACCATGCTGATAAGCATAATGGAAATTATAGTCCAATGATATCTGTGCACTGGATTTTGGAAGAGACGGCCAGTATAAATATGACAAAATACCTAATACTAAATCTTTAAATGGATCACACTTTTAATTGTTTTGCTCAGGTTCTACTGCTATTACTTCTTTATTTTTTCTACATATATTTAGGACATTTTATAAAGGATTATACATTTGTGTCATGAAATTGGTTAATTTACCTGTTAGCATAATCTTCACTGTAATATTTCATTTGAATCACAGTCATAAAGCATGGATTGCCAAATGTCACTGTAACTTTACCATTATTTTAAATCAGAGTATTATTTAATTATATTTATATCTATCCACTGTGTTTTTAATCACATTTTTTTTTTTACTGAAACGAGGGATTGTTAATGTAGCCCAATGATTGCATATTTGCTGCCGGCTTTTCAAATGTATAATGTAAATACGGTTCTCAAATTGTAACTGGAAAAATCATAGGAGGCTATTTTTAGGTCTGTTCAGCAAACAGAATCCAGAAATAAATTCACTACTTCTGTTTTTAGTAGTATCAAGTAAGTGTCAAATATATTTGGTTTCTTCCCAAAACCTGTGTCAAGAAAAGAGTGGGCATCAGCCATTGGAATATAACAGCTTTGTTCTGTGAATGGAGCAGATAAGGTGAATGGCCTAAGGGCATTTTGTTAAATTTAAGGGGGGGGGGGAATAGCAAGAAAGAGGTGGAGGTAATGAAAACAAAGTATCTTGTAATATTGTATCACTTTATTTATTTATTTAAATAATTTATATGGCTGGCAACCTCATACTAGTGACTCTGGGTACAAAGATTAAAACTAAAGAATTAAAATAATAGAGTTTCCCTATGATAAGATGGGTGTCCAATAAATTTAATAAATAAATAACCCATAAAAACACATCAGCCACACCAGGGTTAGCCTAACATTCTAGCCCAAACATCTGGAGAAACAGCCAGGTCTTCAAAACATAAAATAACAGAAGGATTGGGGCCATCTGGATTTTCTTGAGAATGCTGATCTTTAGCAGTATTTACTGTACAAATCTTAAATAGAAGAAGAATCTGTAATATACTGTAGTCTGGCAGTTTCTTTGATAACATGTTCCAGTTCAATATGTGAACATAAGAAAAGGCCATGTTGCTTCCTCATTGTGAAGGTTGTGGGGACAATGTTCCCCACATTTATTTTATTTTCCCCATTATGTATTTTATTTATTTTATTGTAATAAAACCAAAGATGAGACAATAAGATGAGATGGGTGGCTATATAATAAATTGAATAAATAATAGCTGTAAAGGCCAGTATAAAAGTAGACTATAATTATAATTTACAGTTCTTCATTTTGTATTATTACTGTGCAAAATTTATCTTGCAGCAATTAGTATACAGCAATGCAGATTTTGAAATGTCAGGTTATATTAAATATATATTATTAAATATTAAATATATATTATTAAATATTAAATGGTTAATCTTTTTAAAAAAACATATTTTAGGAGTAATTGAATTTAACATTGTATAGATTGGCTTCTACAAAGAAAACTAATTATAAGATCCATATGAAGTTTTACATCCATATGACTATTATTAAGTGTTGTACCTTATGATTCTTGATGAATGTATCTTTTCTTTTATGTATACAGAGAGCATTTGCACCAAGACAAATTCCTTGTGTGTCCAATCACACTTGGCCAATAAAAGAATTCTAATTCTAAATTCCTTTATTAAAATGTTAGATAAAACTTGTTCCTTTTATGCCTGGCTTGAAAAGAATAATATGAAGAATTGGCCCATATACAAATAAATGCTTTCAGCTACGTTCACACAGTAGGGTGGTAATTGTACAGTGGTGGTATTTTTATTTTATTGACCATGTGTTTAGAATCACAAAGGGATATCCAGGAAGATAAGTTTGCTTGACAAGAAATAATACTATTTGAAAGTAAAAGTACCACAGCTATAAAACAAATTCATATCAATCTTCATTCAGTAATACAAATCATTATATAAATTTCCTTACAAAATTGGGGCCCATATATGTGAAGAATGGAGAACGACAGTCTGGAATATAAAACTGAATTTAAACAAGCAGCATATATCATGCTATTTTAATTTATGCCTGGGATTTGCAGCTGATGGTCCGCTTGTCACTGATTATTAAAAAAAAAAATCTTGAGGGAATTGCTCTCAGCTCTCTTTTGCTCTTTAAACAAAAGACTGAAACTTCTGTAGGAATGGATATATAATTTTTTAAAATTAGGGTGAGAGGGGAAAACTCTAGAATTTGCTTATTTTAATATAATTTCATCAAATTGTAAAAGATAAAGACTCCCTTGTATGAAGCTCTGTTCCTACTGTATATACAAGTGTTTCTGAACCTTAGTTACTCTGAGATGTGTGGACTTCAACATCCAGAATTCCCTTTCATTTTCAAACGGCTAAGTGTCATTAACACAGCTATACAGATAGTCCTCGACTTACAACAGTTCATTTGGTGACCGTTCAAAGTTACAACGGCACTGAAAAAAGTGACTGATGACCATTTTTCATAGTTATGACCTTTGCAGCATCCCCATGGTCACATGATCAAAACTCGGATGCTGGGCAATTGGTTCATATTTATATCCTTTGCTGCGTTCCAAGGTCACGTGATCACCTGCTACCTTCCAATGAGCAAAGTAAATGGGAAAGCAGAATTGCTTAACCACCAGGTTGCTAAATTATAAATTGCAGTGATTGACTTAACAACTGGGGCAAGAAAGGTCATAAAATGGGGCAACGCTCACTAAACAAATGTCTCACTTAAAAACAGAAATTTTGGGCTCAATTATGGTCATAAGTTGAAGACTATCTGTACTGTGTACTATACAGGAAGGTTATGCCATTTTTTTGAGCAACAATATAGAAATGCTTTGCCATTGCCACCTCCCAGGCTGTTCTTTTACCTTCTCAATCTAGCCTACAGCTGTTAGATTTCTTGGTAGTCTCCTATCCAAATACTAACCAAATTCAAATCCCTATAGCTTTTTCAAGAACAACCCTAGTAGCCTAAATGCTGTTTTATGTGAGCTTTTGTTTATTTGTTTATTCGATGCTGCCTGACTCCAAACTGTAGGTGGCTCACAATATATCAGATAATTATAAAATAAAAACAACAAACAGCAAAAGCAAATTTGAACAGAAGGAAGACAAGAATAAGATGGCAACCCAACAGATACTCCAAAAATCCCAGAGGCATCTAGCATCCAGTGGAGGGGTTCCTGAAGAACAGCCACTTTTTTTAATGGCACCCTGGAATGCCAATAGGGTGGGTGAATCTGGATCTTGGGGACAC